TTTATATTTGTATATTTCACTACTTCACTCGTTCGATACTGCTATTTATTGTTTCCAGCGTGCATGTCATCCCACAATTTTACTATACTCACTGAAAATATTTCAATACTCATAATAATTTTGCGGTGATTCATTTGAAGTTGGCATATACGTCATAACTGGTGTTACATGCTCGACAAACGTTTTCCCTCACACCTAACGGGCTAGCTATAAAGGTTTCGACAATGCTCAGATTTCCGGCCTTGTGATCTGAAACAATAGCAACGCCAATTGTGACTGACATATGTTTTTGAATTACACAGTATAAAACATGCTAAAAATCCTTTATTGTCATTCCGCTACCGAAAATTGTCGAGAAACACCACAATAAAATTTTTATCCAAATTACGGTTAAACTATGGCTTGGCATAACGATAAAGCTGCGTTGAAAACAATCTCAGAAAATGCTATGAAGTTGACATTGATTGGGATTTAGTCGCGAAAAGCTGCAAGATGTAAAGGCGGATTTCCATTCAGTGCAAAATGTCGCGCGATCGACTTTCTGCGAGCGCTTTTTCGATTACGCATGCGCAATAGTGGTATTATTGTTAAATTTTCAAATCGAGCGATCGCAAAAAAAAGTAGAATCGCTTTCTACTTTTGCGATCGCACTTTAAGAGCAGATGTCTGTAAGAATCGAGATTCTCGCGACAGTTAAGAAAAACCGAAATTCGGTTTATTTCACCAAAACATTCTCTTTAGGGAACTGTTTCAGAAAATTATATTTAAAATCCTGGATAATTTTTATTTTGTTAAATTTTCAAAAATTTCCAAAATCCGTCTGACGGGCGTGTTTTCAGCTATTTATGGAGGTCTATTAATGTCAAACTTCAACGCGCTCGTTTACCCGTAGTCATGACGAGCCGCACGCGTTTAAACAGGATTAACTTTTAGGTGTTGCTTAACGCAGCATTAATAGGAAAAGTGTGAAAGGTGTTGACATTTGTTTCCAATTAATAGCCTGGATTATTTTCCCTTGCATGTAATTTAATGCCAAGAAATGAGATGTAGTTTAATCATTCAAAAATATTAACTAATGTAGTTTATGAAGCGACTTGCCAAGTTGTCATCACCAATTACTGCATATTAGAACTTCAGAATATAAGTTTACAAAATTTTGGGCGCCAAATTCAATTGCGCCAAATCACCAAATGTCTGAAGCCTGGCCATGGTCTGAAGTGAACAGCATGTCAAGCGATCATGGCGTACAAACGCGTTTACTCAGACAAGCTTCATACTCCAAAAAACCGGTATGCCTTTATCTGTCGTAACGAAAGACGCTCTATATAAAGGCTATAGTTATACCACATTCCTTAGTAATTAACAACCATGGCCCAACGTGTTGGTTGACAAAAATATCAGCGAATTTGGTAAGACACTTTTTACTTTACATTTATTTTACAATAGTCATACACATATATTGCTATTTTTATGTTTATTGACTCTGTAATCCAAATCGGCTTCTGTATTCTATCCTTCTTACACATGTGCCAACCCCAACTCCCTTCTGACGAGTCCATGAGACCATGAAGGACGAAACGCCGCGTACAGGGATATTGAATTTTACACTCATGACTATCTCTTTCTCTCGCTTTATATATTTTACATGCCTCCACACAAGCTTTTTAGTACAGCGTGATCATACTCTTTGGGTCTGATCAAATATATATTTTACACCACAGGATATATTTTACCTTTACAATTTTACACATGCATGCATCTCCAGTTTTGTGTTTCATAAATGTACACCTGCAGGCTACTTATATTTCTCAGGTTCACATTTATACAAATAAAAGTCGTTTTTTTATCCTCAGTTTCATCAAATACAACATAATTTTCACAGGCATACATTGTGCCAACAACACGAGGCCATCACACTATCATATTACACACAGCACTTTTTGATCTAACATTTAGGGATTATTGAGGCATAAAATTATTACTAGGACACCAATATGGTTCTCATTATATCTAAACTTAAAAACAGATTATGAAGATGTTCCATCTTTACTTAAGCAGTGAAAGCTATAAATAGGAGTCTGTATTTTTCTCTGCATGCAGTACATATCCCACTATAAATCACGGCGCAACGCAAAATATAGCCTTTGCCTCTGCCGGAATAATTAAGAGTCCTTTTAGTGGAAACTCCTGTGCCAGAAAGATGTGCCATCTTTTGCTGGCAGGTTATGAAGATGCTCCATCTTTTCTTAACCAGTGGAAGCTAAATAGGAGTCTTTGTTATTCCTTGTATACAGAACATATACAGTATATTATAATATAAAACACGGCGCAACGCAAAATATAGCCTAATTTGGCTTTGCCTCTGCCGGAATAATTAAGAGTCCTTTTAGTGGAAACTCCTGTGCCAGAAAGATGTGCCATCTTTTGCTGGCAGGTTATGAAGATGCTCCATCTTTTCTTAACCAGTGGAAGCTAAATAGGAGTCTGTTATTCCTTGTATACGATACATATATTATATACTATAAAACACGGCGCAACGCAAAATATATAGCCTTTGCCTCTGCCGGAATAATTAAGAGTCCTTTTAGTGGAAACTTCTGTGCCAGAAAGATGTGCCATCTTTTGCTGGCAGGTTATGAAGATGCTCCAGCTTTTCTTAACCAGTGGAAGCTAAATAGGAGTATATGTTGCACTATAAATCAGTAGGCCTATTGCAATCCGTTAGAGAAAACAAACTAGTAAGGAGATATTCATACCATATACCTAAAGAACGCAATGCGCATCTAAACCAGAAGCATCTTTTGGCGCATCTAAGCCAAAATAGCATTGTGAATTAGCTACACCTGGAGCGGTATCTAGCGGTATCCTGTAGTCAACTGTCAACAATCAAGCCATTTATTTGTACTAAACTGTACCTAAAATATCATATAACATATGTAGGTTAATATTCGGACTGAAATTAAACTTATTACATGTTTGATCTCACACTGTGTTTGAGCAGTTTCTCCTGGATTGATGACATCGCATAGCGTTAATTGTTGGTGGGTAAGCTGCACCCGCTTCCTGAAAAATGCAAACTCAGTTTGCAAATCCCGCTGGTTTTCAAAACGTGCGGCTCGTCATGGAAACGAACAAAATTGATATTAAATTCAGTTAATAAACAACTCAAAAAATTGACTTTCAGCTAATATTTATTTCTGTTCGATGTATGTTTAATTTGTTTTGGGGCATTTTCCACGGTTGACTATTGACAGCAAATGAACACGTGTAAACAATGCTGATATTCAGAAAGCCAAAACTTCTTCTGGTATATGTATTTAGGACACAAAGCTTGCACTATTCTAAAGTTTAGTTATCATTTTATTCACGAAAGAAGTTTTAAGCTTTGGAAATTCAAAGATCGCTCTAAATTATAATTTCAATTTAACCCATTTATAACGCTTTCCGGTATGAATTCAAGAAGCGCTTCTCCAACAAAACAATGTTTCCTCCCATGAATTTAGTAAAAAACTCTTTATAACGCAATCTTAGGATAAATATTAATGCCCAGCATAAAACACGTAAAAGAGCCATAACAAAATTATAATTTAAAATATTTATTTGAAAGCTAACGTTTCGTCTTTAACTTAAGACATCTTCAGAGCAATGACATACAAAGCGGAAAACACAGAAATATGAATAAATTACAACTATTTACAAGATATTATATTACAAAAGTAGAAAGAGGAATGGATCAGAGTAGAAGTAGAGGGACCGAGCTGCCCTGTAAGTTGAGAGAGGGTTTGAGTTTGTTAATGAGAAGACTTTCTCGAATGAGGAGTTCGTCTGGAGAAGAGCAACAAGAAATAATCTTAAAATCATTAAGAGAGGCGGAGTGACCAGTGCTATCAAGATGGGAAAGGATACTAGACATGGTCGGATTGCTGCTTTTACTGCCTGTTAGAGGAGAAATTATAACGCCATTAAACGATAACCTACGTTCTAGAATAGCACTACGGATTGTAACTTGTGAGAATAGTGGTTACCGAAATTTTTTTACCTTTTGCGTACTTGGCCTACATGCATCAGTAATGACACTTCAGTAATTAATTATATCAAATCGGTTTGAAAACAATTGTTGAAATTCTTCCTGATTTTATTCCTAAATATACCTATACCGTTAAGTTACTTAAACACAATTGCGGAATGAATAAAAAATCAGCGATTATTTATCAATAAAACTAGAAAATGTGTACTGGAGCTTGTTCTAGATGGGGTGTTGTATTGGTCACGCAATCTTGTTTTGATAATGATATATTCTTGCAATCTTGCAAACTTGTTCGCTAATAAACGCCACATACAGTCAACACTGTCTGTACTTACTTTGGGCTTGCCATTATAGCCAGCCATGGCCGTTTGTGCTTTTAAAAATCTCGTGAATGAAAGTAGTGTCTGTGGGACGTCTTCGGAATATACCGAATTACATTGCATTTCATTAAAAGACTGCAACAGAGACGTGAGAAGACATCTTAAGCTTCACAAAATTAGTAACAATGAAGGTGTAAACAACGAGATGAAATTATTGCTTGCACGAGCAGGTCCTTTCATGAATATTTTTTTTTCAGTTCCAGTTTTCTATCTTATTTTTTAACTTTTTATGACCTTTGTTTTGTTATTTGTAAAACTTTTGTAAAGAAAACGTTTTCTCTTTATAATTCCAAACAATTTATCCGGGCCTACGGAAATTGTATAAAGCTTTTAATTAACATATGTCGTGAAATTAACGTAAAGAGAACAAACTTTTTGAATTTCAGTAGCAACATTTTTATTTCGGGCAACTTGTGAGCAACTTTTATGCTTTTTAGAGAGCAACTTTTTTGTTTTAGAGAGCAACTTTTTGGGATTTTATGAGCACAACCGGGATATCCCTATCTGAGAGACGCATAATAAGAAAACCCAGAATTCCGGGCGCCAGAGTATGCCTGTTCGCAGGTTGTGCTGTGAATAATATAGTTAACAAAAAAAATCATGACCAAAGGCACCAAAAACGGATCAAAATTGGGAATCGACTCACATTACTTCAATCCCATTCCCATTTTTGAGGACTTCATTTCCCATTCCCAGTGGCCAAATCCCAGTCCCAGTCACCCAAATCCCATTTTCCCAGTCTAAAAATAGATCAATCCCAGTTCCCATTTTACCCCTTTAGGACCCTCAATATGCCCTCGCCATCGTGACCAGTTTGGTCTTCGTTGGAGATGCGGGAAAGTAAACTGTGCATTACCAAACGAAGTAGCTTGGCACAAATCGAACAGAGCAAAGGGAGATCGATGTATCAACAGCAGTCAATCACAGTATCTGGTAACCAGCACGCAACAATTAATTCCAGTTGGATCCCGTAAGTTCGCCCACATTCGAATGATTTGCTGTCAATTACTGAAACGTTTTGAACTACTCTAGCGGCAAAAATGATACCGGAAAAATGAAGCCCACCAAGGGGTTATGACCGACAGGCGACCGTTCCTTAAAAAGAGGAGACAGACTATCTAAGAAAGAGCGACAAACGACAGCTTCTGACTTGGAAAAAGCGACAAGTTGCGATTTGTATTATGGGTCAAAATTGACAGCAACATTTATTACAATAAAACAAGCGACAAAGCAGCTACAAAATGAGTGACAAGCGACCTGGGTTACACCCTTGGTGGGCCTCAAAAATTGTCGCGCAATTATTTACAGTATTGACGGATTTATTTCAAGAAAAAACTTGCATATAAATTTTTCCCTGGTGACATTGCTGTACTCTGTAAAGTTTCTGTCATCAAAGCAAATATTCGTTAATTACTGAAATACGCAACGTATGGCAGAGACGGTATAGTGGGAAAGCTCTTGTATTTTAATTGTAAAAAGCTGTTCACACAAGAATGCATATTATACTGTAGTAGATGGGGCAACCCAAAATAAAAACAGTACCAGTATAATTAATACAGGAGGGGGGAGGGGGACTGGTAAGGATCTGGAAAAAGCCATAGTAAAATATACATCCCTCTCTGCCAGACGAAGGAAAGCATAAAGCCCCCCTCAACTACGGTTTGAAATATTTACATCCCCCCTCTTTCTTTTCTTTATCACAAATTAACATTTTTACGTTTTCCATATAAAAAGGCTGAAGAATATAAGATATGAATTGAATATTCTTTGGCATGTATTGGTCATACTGTATACTAAAAGAATAAGACTAACAATAATTACGATCACTATGCCACTCATAGATTATGTCCAGTGGCGTAGCCAGCTTGACGATTCCGTCCCGCTCAACCTCGTTCCCAGGCTCTTACCTTCGCTCGCCCTGGGCACGAGGATGCAGTCCCGCTATGCAAATACCAATCTCGTTCCCAGAGTATGCCTGTTCGCGGGTTAGGTTGTGGCATGACTCTGGGGAAATCGAATCTAAATCGTTATTTGATTGGCTGCCGTGATCATCAATGCTGCCGACACAATTAATGCGTGTTTTTTGCGAGAATTACGCGTGGACATACGCGAAGAGAGAATTATCAATGTTTATCAGATTTGGAATGCGAAATCAAACGATATAAATCGAAGGATATGATATTAATCGTATGAAAAAGTATTGGGACGTTGGGTACAGTATATACTTACAAAATCGCATGGTATTTATGAATGACTTTTTATCGATCTACAGTACGAGTATATTCATTATAACCATGAAAGAATTGGCTAAATGAAATCATCGCACACGTTCAATGTCGTTGTTTTGTTAAATTGACATATTGTTGCCAGGACTTTGGAGTGACAGCTTTTGCTTGTGTTAAAAACTTGAAGCTTTAAACAATACAGTACATTATGGTCAACACTCAACATGTTGTAGCCCGTGGTCTTTGTGCTTTTGTAAATGGAGTTATCTATATAAATTTAAGATGCCAGGTGTTTTTGTAGCATCTGTATAAATCATAGAATAATTGATTTAAGAAGTTCCTCAGGTTGTAAAACATTTGGTTATAGATTTGCTTTGTAAGCGATTGCCACTTGACAGCATGATGGGCTATTCCATTTAATATCCGTACACCGGCCCCTGTCGAGGATACATGTTTTTCATGGTTATACCCCTGAAGAATTTCAAACTCAAAACCTTTTACCCCTGAAGAATTCCAAAATTCCAAGCTCAAAACCCTTTACCCCTGAAGAATTCCAAGCTCGAAACCTTTTACCCCTGTTCAAAGAATTCCAAAATTCCAAGCTCAAAACCCTTTATCCCTGAAGTATTCCAAGCTCAAAACCCTTTACCCCAGAAGAATTCCAAACTCGAAACACTTTACCCCTGAAAAATTCCAAGCTCAAAACACTTTACTCCTGAAGAATTCCAAGCTCAAAATCCTTTACCCCTGAAGAATTCCAGGGATCCTCGACAGGAGGTGGTGTGGTACGGATATTAAATGGAATAGCCCGATGTAAGGCTATAACTAAGCCAAACCTGAAACAATTTTTACATCAATTTGTGTCTGGATAAAAAATAAGTAGTGAATTTAAATACAGATGTTTCCTTGTCTGTTGCTATGTGAAACAATGTTGTTTATAGCAATAAAAAAAAAGACTTTGTTTTAACAGCTTTATTGAACGATGTTCAAACGGCAAGAGTGCGAACGGGACTCAAGACCCATGCGAGGCACTCTCCCTCTTGAATTTTGTTTACATCTAATATCATTATTTACAAAAAATTTATAAATTGGTAAACATATACCAGCTGATTAATTAAATCAAATTAGGAAGATATTGCACCACATTTAAGTTATCATACATAATACAGATTTGTATAATCATGTTAAAAATTAGAAAACTGAATCAGGATAAAACAAACCCTGACACGAGGAGCTGGTATATGTTTACATCAGAATTAACTATTTCTATGGCATGAACAGCTACGATATAAAGACCACGTACAGCACATGTCCACATCAAAACTACTACTTAATAAATTGAAGTATGTTCTTGATAAGAAGGATTTAAACATTGCCAAACTGCGAAGATCTCTAGGAGAAGCAATTTTGCAAGTATGATTCCAGAGTGGAACAATACGGTTAAAGAACGATGTCTGAAAAGTGCTACTTTTACATGACGGAACTTTAAGCACTAGAGAAGGATTATTACAATTACGGGTACGACTATGATTAACAAATGACACAAAATTGAAAACATCCAAATCATAAAAACCATGCAAAGTTTTAAACATAAATGTCAGATCCTTAATTTCCCTGTCAAACACCAGTGGTAAAAGATTCAGAGCCAGCAATCTGTCCTTGTAGGTCATGTCACCTTTCTTCGATTGAAGGATCCATCTTGTTGCACGCCTTTGGACTTGCTCCAGATATAATTTGTTATTATTTTGGGAGGGAGACCAAACCTCTGTGGCATAGCATAATTGGGACTTGACGAGCGAAAGATAAGAGTCATTGTTGATCAATAACAATGCTCATTTGCTAAAACTATACAAGTATTGATTCCATTTCCAAACTATTATACTATGTGAATATATTGGCAATTAATCCAATTATATATAAAAGGAGATACAGTAGAATTGAAATAGCTACCAGTTTCAATCAAATAACTACTTTAATTTCTGTATCAACTATCAAGCCTCCTGTGTATTATTGTTTCCCAAGCATCAATGAGGGGGCACTTGTTCTAAATATATGCAATAAGTCTGGTTACCATTAAAAAATGTCCATATTCAGAGTTACCGTTGTACTATATTTTATTATAATACTGCAGAAATGCAATATATTTCATGATTTTAAGAAATTGAATGAGGGCTGCATGGTTAAAAGAGGAGGGGGGGCTTATTTATTTTTTATTTTTGTATCCAAATGGGGGGGGGGGAGTTATTGGAGAGGGGCTTGAAGAGAAGGGGGCTAAATATAGAAATTACAGTACCTCCATTCCTTCCTCTCCCTTCCCAAACATGCTGCAGGAGAGGGGGAAACTGCAGGGGTTAAAGCATGGATTGCAAGGTTGATGTATAATTTGCATGTTATGTACCTAGTAGTATGGAGAAATGAGCTAGTAAATATATCCTTGCTTATAATTAGTTGCTGATTAAATGTTCAAAGATACACAGTGTGAAGCATGAAAAACAAATGGAAGATACCCACTGCAAGAAATTTTCAACAAATATATGGTTTGTTCACTTCATTTCTTACTTTCAACACAAGTAATTATGGTAATTATAACTACAAACACAATGTACTGTCATTTAAAGACTTTATATGTGCTCCATGTGTATATGTTAATGTAATATAATATAAAAAATGTGTTTATTGTTAAAATATGGGATATATAATACCGTAAACCTCTGACTATAAGCCCTGGACTTATATTTTTTTGTAAGTGATTTTTGATGGGCTTAGGGGGGGGGGGCTTATATGCACAGGGGCCTTATACATGGACGATCAATTGTGTTAGTAATAAACAAGTCAGTCATAAACAGGAAAATAAACATGTATTAATAACACACTCCATTAACATAGTAAGCTATAAAGACAATGACATGAGTGTTTCAAATATCGTTCTCTGTTATATTAAAAGACAATGTCAATGTTAAATAACATAGTGGGATACTGGGCTTATATTCAGGGGGCTTATATTCAGGGGACTTATATTCAGGGGGGCTTATATTTGGGGGGGGGGGCTTATATTTGGAATGAGGTGAGCATTACATTCAGAAGTTTACAGTATACAGTTCAAAAAAGCTTGTATTTTCTTGTCACAGACACAGCTTATACGTCAGGTTCTCATGTCGATCCAATGGTAATTTGAGATCGCTGCCATCACCATAATATAGTGTACCACCAGTATGGAATGTAACATTTCTGTGCACCGCACAATTTAAACGCAACTTTGGCTGTGCACCACATGTAGTGCACATATAGCCAGCGGGTTCATGACCTGTGCACGTTCTAAATTAAGATTCGGGGGGGGGTAGCAAATATGTAGCAGCGATTGTCAGAATTTCTGAATTCACCAATTATTTAGTTGTTACACACTATAGTACTAGTAGATATTAAAAAAATATATAGTATAGATAACGTACATTGTGAAAATACAAATTTTTTGTGCACCAATAACAGAAGGAAATTGTGTGCACCAAAGAAGGATTATTGGGTAAGTTGTGCACCAATTTGTGCACCGATAGCAGCCTTTGTGCACGGCACATGTGCCGTGCACATCGCCTTCATTCCATACTGGGTGTACCCAGTAGCGTAGCCAGCCTGAAATTTTACTCCTGCTATGTAAATTTCAAAGGATTATCATTATTCATTTCTTTAGAAATTCATTGTTTTTATAGTCTATGAACACAGACATATTTGCATAGCAGGAGCAAATAGTCAGGCTGGCTACGCCACTGGGTGTACCACAGAATGGCCTTGTCTCATACTTTGACATCATGCATGCAGAAATGCCTTGGTCATTCATGTGGAGATATTACTATCACGATAGAATTAGTTACGCCAAGTAACACGTCAGGTAGCAGCTGAAATATTTTAATATTTGCCATAATAAGCCCATAACCTGTTGGCAAAACAACCAAAACATCTTCACCATTTTACATTATGGCCGAGATACATTTGAATGTCTCGTCTTTTAACGAATATTCAAGCCCTATTTTCGCTAGAACAACTTTCATAGCTCTTTCAGTATTTGCCATTGAATATAATTTAATAGTAGTACGATTTAAAGCACCTTCAAACGTATAAAAACCCATTTTGTATACTATATTCTGATGAGAATCTTTGTTTAAAACAATATCGATTGTGAGCGTGTGCCCGCACGAATTTAGTAAGCGGAATAAACAAAAGCAATAAAAGCGCATGCGCCATTTATCTCATTTTGGATAAAAAAAATTCGATTTCCCCAGAGTCATGCCACAACCTAACCCGCGAACAGGCATACTCTGGGAACGAGATTGTGCAAATACTGCCATGTTTATAAACTATCAACAGTTTATAATCTATGAAATATGTTTACAAACTATCATGTTTATAAACTACGAAACAGGTGAGTTCTAAATAAAATTTGATATTTATTTGTAATTTAAAAAGTGGCCGTTACTCTGATAGCACTATTTAACCAGCAGCAATGTGTCTTGGTGCACCCTACTTTGTTTATTTTACCAGCTCGGTCTATAATCAACTCCAGGTGATTTTACTTGAGATGGGGAAACCATTGCACCTCATGGGTAAATGAAAACTATTTTATTACAGCTGTTTTTCGTAAGTCACATGAGACACCTCGATCATTAAAAAATCCTTACATCCCCCTAAAATATTTGCTTAGAAGTGTCTGACCCCCCCCCCACATTTCATACCAGCCCCCCCCCCTCCTGTATTAATAATGAACGGTCCCTTAGCTCTTTTTCAAGTCTCGTAGAATATAAAACTGCAATATGGTCAAATTATGCGATTATTGATATATAAATTATATTTGAAACATCATTAAATGACGTCATATATAGTGACGTCAAGGTTTACAAAAATGTGCAAACTTCATGATTTCACAGCTCTCTATTAAACTTGAAACTTGTCATTGATATATAGAACAAACAAGTGCGCATAAATTTAAGCAATACATCAAAGGGCGGCGTTGCTAAGAAAATTGAATCAATATAGCCCTGCATGACAAGAACTCATAAGATTTGGTAAAATTTTCTTATCTTCAATTTGACTGAAAAAAACCAAGAAACAATGAAACGAAGCTTGTAATTGATGAAGGCAATGATGTTGGTTGTTTTTAAATATTATTTTGCTGTTTTAGCTATTTGTACGACATGCAAGAAGAATCTTGACGAAGAAATCAAGCAAAAAAAGTTATCTTTACCTGATCCTTTCGTAAAAGAAACTAAGTCGCCAAACAAGAATTAGCATTAGATCCATTTGGCCCTGCTTTGCCTGAAACAACAGTTGAACGGGTACATATTATATACATGAAGAGAATGTATATGGCTGGGGTGATTGAAAGCGTTTGACGACTATGGAGGTGTTCGCAATAAGAGGCTTTCGATAGTTTTGTTTACAATTATTTAATTTGTTTTCAGGTGGACGACAAGCCATCTCCTCCAGAAGAAGAAAGTAGCAGTTTCCTTGACGAAATAACAAATCCCTGGGCCTTCTGGATTTGAATGACTCACTCTTTTCACCAGATGAAGGTAGTGCAATATTTCTATCAACTCAAAGTGACGAGCCGACTCCATACTCAAACGCGAAACACGAGAAGCTTAATGAATTTTTTTTTCTTGCGGAATTGAGCCATTAGAAAGACGGTGGTTGAAGTGGAACGAAACGAGCGACAGGACCAAACAGCGTTATGTCAAGAAATCCTCAGACATTATATCGACCGTCCTACAGACTATATCCACTGATAACGCAGGCTTCATTTGGCAAGAATTAATATCTTCCTCTGCTATGAGCACGAAACTTGGAATCGACCTGTTGTCTCCTTTAGAAAAGAGTTACCTTGAAGCGCTCGCTGAATCATACCACAATGCCAAGAGCTGGGAGACTCGAAGGCAAATATTGTCCATCATGTCTGGCGTAGCTAACTATAACCACATTGTTAAATTTATACCCGGTTTAACCAGGTACCGTTATTCGGTAGCTAACTTGCACCGCCTCCAGTTTGGTCGAGGAGCACCAGTAGAACACCAACCTTTGACTCGTATTAAAGTAGACATCAAGCAGCTTGATCACTTTCTTGGTTTCATCACCAGCCCCCATTTAATCCAAGATCTTCCTTTTGGCAATAACAAGTTAAAGCTTTCGAATGGTCAGACAATGGAGGTACCCAATGTCATCCGCACTCTCATTCCAGAACGAATAGCTCGGCAATATACTCAGTATTGTGAAGACACTGGGTTCACTCCATTCAGTAAAAGCACAATGCTGAGAGTTTTATCTGAATGTAGTGCCACAGTAAGGAAGTCGCTACAAGGTCTAGACTACTACGCAGCGGAAGGAGCACAAGCCTTTGACAACTTGATCTAGTTGGTACATCAAATGGGTGAATTGATTTGTAATTCCACCTGGGAAACTAAAATGGTTGAATCTTTAAAGACTTCAAAGTTCTATTTAAAAGGAGATTACAAGGTGGGTTTTGTAGGAGAGATGTTGGAACAGCTTGGTCGAATGTGCTAATAATTATTTATACTTTTGAAATTTAGGTTCACATTAAAGAGTCATCCGATATAGCTGAGCACTGTATTGTTTATTCCATGAGTGATGGCAAAGATACAGACTACAGGAAGAAGTGTGGCCATCGACATGGCATCGTTTGCGAGAGTTGTCACGTATTATCTAGTAATCCTACTGACATCCAGACGAAGGCCACTACAGCCAATTTTGCTACCACTGATGATCGCGATGAAGTAGCGTATATGATCAACTACTCCAAACTTGCGATTGAGTCATGGCAATGTCATATTATAAGGTGTGTAAATCAAGATCAGGCGCGAATTGACGTCCTAGAGCTTTTGGATAATGACACTATTCTGGTAATAAACGACTGGGCTATGAAATTCATACCACAGAAGTATCGCGAATCGCAGGCAGATTGGTATGGTAAACGTGGTATTTCGTGGCATATTTCAGTAGTTCATTACCAGATCAACAATGAATAATGTCTACTTCCGTCAGGATAATGCAGGCTGCTACCATTCGGCACACACCATTCTTAGTTGTCCAGCAATAGCAAAATCTGTCGGGATGAAGATAGTCCGCATCGACTTCAGTGATCCGCAAGGCGGCAAAGGTGCGGCAGATAGATTAGCAGCCACCTGCAAGTGACACATTAGAGCCTACATAAATGAAGGTCACGATGTCGTGAAGGCAGAAAACATGAAGGATGCCCTCCAGTCTAGTGGTGGAATACAAGGTGTTCGAGTGGTAGCAATGCAAACTATCCACAGTTCATCCAGCGACCAAAGAAAAATCCCTAACATCAACAAGTTAAACAACTTTCAATTTGATGGCGAAAGCATAACAGCATGGCGGTCATATGGTATTGGAAAGGGCAAAGAAGTAGAGCCGGTGAACCCCTTGGAAGGTTAGTTTTTTAATAAAACACGTTTATCTAGCAGGACAGTTCTGATATTGATCCGATATTTATTACAGATTCTAACTACAATTGGCTGGAGTCCACTTTTACTCCAGGAAGATTTAAACGAATTGAAAGAAAGAAACCTGGCGGTGCTGCAACAAACAAACCAGAAAACGCAGACGAAGAAGAACCACTAGTACAAGAACAAGAAGATCAGATCAATACCAGTTCCGCTTCCGGGTTTTACTCGTGCCCACATGATGGTTGCGTACGGGTCTTTCAGAGGCTTTTTGCATTAGAGAAACATCTTTCCTTGGAGAAGTGCGAACAGAAACTGGAGAGGTTATCGCTACTTGACCATGCAAAACTTGGTTATAAAGAATATTTGGAAGAGGGAGCTGGCGTCATACCCACTCTAAATCCAACAGTGACA